ACAAGAGCACAAGCCTCCACTGTGGAGTAGATACTGCAGGGACTACATCTGAATGCCTGTAGAGCAGTGTGTAGTCACAGGACCCTGCCAGAAGGAAGCAGCACATCACCCCAGCGTCACCCTCCAACTAAAACCTCTGCAGAGACTCTGGTTCAAACCTGCAAGTTTCACATAAAAGCTGATTTGTCATCTGATTCAGGATCAAACTCATCAGGATGCGATAGGATAATAAGATTATTCCTTTATGACATCATAATTAAATAAGAAATGGTTTATTTATCTCACAAGTTTGAAAATTAGGCAAAATAATATGAAAAACATCTCAGTATAAAAAATAAAATGTCAGAGGAAATGGCTTGGATAATTAAAAATAATTAAAATACTAACAACAAAATCCCTTCATCTGTGCATGTGTGTATATCTGCTGGTTCATGTGTAGGTCTGGGTATATGTAGATGACAGTGAGTGAGAGATGATGATTCCAGTGTCACTAGATGGCAGCACCAGACCGTGCTTTAAGCTGTGGTTAGTGCTTTTTACTATCTGTGGATGCTGCTGCAAGACAACTACTTATAGTTAGCTGTGAACTGACCAATTATGCTTTTAATTAAAGTGGCTGGAAAGACTAGATCCATGGTGTGAACTGCAACTGTGAGAAGCCTTTTTTTCCTCCCACTGTGAAAGTCAAAGTAAGGTCAGTACTTCCACGCTTTAAACGCTGCACGCTCATACTCTCTCCCGCAGTCGATATATTATCCATTGTTGATCTGCACACAGCTGTTGTCACGAACGTCGCACTCGCTTACGTCATTGTCATGAGACACTCTCGCAAAAAAAATCCCAGTTTTAGTAACGCAGTAACGCAGCGTTCCTACAGAAAAGTAACAGTAATCAAATTACCTTTTTTGCAATAGTAATCCCTTACTTTACTCGTTACTTGAAAAAAGTAATCGGATAACGCGTTACTGCCCATCTCTGGTTACAACTCACATGGTCTGAGGATGGATGGCACAGATGTCCTCACTATGTGTCCTGTTCAAGCACAACCACAGATATCAACAACACAGTAACTAAGAAGCACATGCACAAACTCTTATCTACTGATGGAGACGTCTTTAGTTTAAACAGCATCTAAAGTTTCATATATTTCATTTCCTTAAATCAAAACTCATTAAACACACAGCTTTTTTCTTTTTTACCACAAAAAACATCCTTAATCTTTGAGTTTTTAGTCGCTCAGCGGGTGTGTAATTGCATTTAATGACAAGTTTAAAGACATATATACAGATCAGATTCATGATGAATATGCTCAGGTCAGAAGGAACAGCAGGTAGATCCCTTTGGTGAGGAGTAGGCGACGAACTCTAAAAAGTTCAAACAGCATGGGACTAGTCACAGTTAAAATAATGCACCACTTCACTACAACTAAATCTATATCATCTGCGTCACAACACTTAAACTTCCTCCATTTGTTTCACATTAAAAGTCTTGAAATCAAACTGTCACAAATAAGCTTTTAATGTGAAGGAGACTGACCAGGAAGTGTTCAGTTCAAGTAACTTAAAGAAGTCCAGACGCTTTTCTTTGCAAGCTCCTTTGACTACGATGACCTGGATGACTGAGAACCTTCACAGACATTCAGTTTGGAAGTTTTAGCAGAAAAGTCTCATCTGTGCTGGGTCTGTGGTCAATTTAAGGATTCAAAAGGGAACATATTAACATTTCTGGGTAATTTATTTACTGGCTGTTCAAAGCCAACTCCAAGAAATTAAATAGAAAAAAAAAGTGAAAACTGGGCAGCTCAAAAATCTTGAATTGTTACATCAATAATAGCAAAAAAAAAAAAGCTCAGACAGACCAAAGAGTGAAAAACAAGGAGGTAAGTGAACTCTGGTCTCCTTCCTGTGCTTTTAGAGTTTGACACCACTTCCTGTGCTCACACTGTTAACGCTGGCCTAAGATCCAGCTCAGCTTCATTGTGTAACTCAAATGGTATTTACTAGCATCCTTTATTTTTGTGAAGACCTTTATCTTTATCCTTCAGCAAAGTGAATTACCCATTAACCACAGCAAAAAAGCTCCGTTACTTTTAACGCTGTTATTCCCATCACTGGTTTTAACTCCCCTAAAATTAGCACAAAAAACATTTTTCTTTCACCAACAAATTTTTTATTCAACATTCTTCAGCTGTGAACAATGTCTTAAAGTAGTGTTTAACATGAATTAACAGAATTGGACATAAAATAACTGCAGTGAAAACACAAATAAGCACTAAAAACTGTATTACAAAAAGGACATGCAATGTAAAAAATACATGGAAAACCAAAGACCAAACTCAACATGAAGCCGTGTGTGTGTGTGTGTGTGTGTGTGTGTGTGTATCATACACATGTGTGGCATGTGACAGTCAAGTGAGAGTGGGCCTTGCAAACATAGGCATCACATTTGCAGCATCTCAGGTTTGTTTTGTTGTCTCTCGGGGCACAGAGCTCACAGCGCTTCCTTTTCTGCCCGTGTCTTTGTTGGGGGAGAGCAGCCAGGCCAGTGGCTGGGGCTGGGGCTTGCACACTCTTAACCAGACTGGCAGAGGCTGGTGTGCGGGGAATGTGCTGGCGCCGTTGAATAAGAGGAGTCGCCAAAGCTTTCCCCAGCTCTGCTAGGAAAAGTCTCTTCCTGAAACTCTTCCCCTGATTCCAGGTTGGGTCGATGGCTGTCCACACCACATATGCGTTGAAAGCAGACACATCGAGGATCTTGTGGAACAGCGCCACAGGCCAACGAGCTGTCATTAGCTTGCAGGTGTATGTGCCAGTAAGCTGCAATAAAAGGAACAATAAATAAGAGATTGGGAACATATTGAATCTGTCGTACACAAAATGCTATGATTCACATAAATGAAAATGAAATACATGCAGGATCGATGAAACTTTACCTTATCAAGGCAGTCAACACCTCCTTTGTTCTTCTTGTAGTCCTGGATTATAAGGGGCTTCCTGTCCTCTGTGGTGCTGACCGCGGCGTCTTTGTGTAGCGTGCTCATCGGGATGACATTTCTATTCTCCGTGGGAACATTCGACACAGCCTCTCTTCCTCTGGTGGATACTTGTGCAGGGGAAAGTTCAGGCTTGTTGTCACATGTGGTATTATGCCCTTGCAGACTGGTTGTTTTGTCCAGCACAACACGCACGCCCTGGTTTTTGTCGGCCCCTCCACTACTGGGTTTCCCCGTGTATACCTGCATATTCCAGGCATAGCTGCTGCTGGCGTCACATGCTACCCAGACCTTTATTCCACATTTCCCTGGATTGCTTGAAAGGTACACCTTGAAGGGACAGCGACCTCTGAAAGGAACCAGGCACTCATCAACCGTCACCTCAGGGCCTGGATTGTACATAAGTGGTAGGCGCTCCACCCACCTGTCCCAAATGTTCCTGATGGCAGCCAGCTTGTCATTTTGTCGTGTTTCTCTGTTATCAAATCGAATAATTCTTGAAAGGACACGAAATTGTTCTAAGGACATGGTTGCTCGGAATATAGGCCTGCCCGACTCTGCATCCCACAGACTTTTTGTAGCCTCATTGTTTGAGCGATATACTCCTGCTAAAATCAACAGACCTTTGTAGGCTTGGAGGTCTACCAGGTCGATTTCTCTCCAGGTGTCTCCAAACACACGCTTCCCCTCCAGGTTTGTCATCTCCAGTATGATTCCCTCAATGGACTCTGGTAAAAAGAGTTGGAAGCTGGATTTGAGGTCATCCACACGAGATATGGCATACTGTGTTGGCCCTGGCCTACTTCCTCTGTCCTGGAGGGATGAAGACCAGAGCA